GCTGAGGCCCGGCTGCCTCCTTGAGGGAAAAGAAACTGAGGCAAGGCCTCCAGCTTGACTTGGATGCAGTAGGAGCTGTGTCAACGGGAGGATGTGGTCACCCTAGAAATAAAGCTGAGGCCCGGCTGCCTCCTTGAGGGAAAAGAAACTGAGGCAAGGCCTCCAGCTTGACTTGGATGCAGTGAGATCCTTGCAGGTCTGGCAGAGAGGAGGGCATCAGGGGCCACTGGTCCTGGATTGGGGAGCTCAGTTTCTCTCCATTCCTATCTCCCACCCCCGTCTTGTTTTCTTCCTTTATTTATTTATTTATTTATTTTTATTGTGTAATTTTTTTTGTATATGGAAGAGCAAGTCAGGACCCATGACGCCCTCAGAGTCTTTGTGAATCGCTTTGGTCAAAGGTAGCCAGAAAGCATGTAGAGTTGACCAAAGTGGATGGTTGGATTCTCACCACGAATTCCAGGATTCTGGGTCCTCCTTCACCCCAGGAGTACTGGGAGTACGGTCCCATCTCTGATGGCTGCCCTTGAGAGTGGATTCCTACTGTAGCTCATGAGTGGGGTGGGATATGAGGGGTAATGCGAACTGATACCAAACGCGTGTGGTTTAAATTGTCCCTGGGAGATAGTAGAATCCCAAGGTTTCAAAGACTTAAAAAAAAACAACCCAACCAACCCGAAAAACAGAAAGTCAGTACAGACACCTGGGCAATGCCTGCCATCAAAAGACTCCCTTCCCCGAAAAGGAGCTAAAAAGACGGTCCTTCCTGCAGGTGTCTAGGCAGGTGTCCCCTGCAACCTCAGAGAGCGTTCCTGATGCCAAAGGGCCAGGAGCCCGAGTGGGGTGATTGAAGAGGAAGGAGGCTTGGGTTTAGGCGTAGGACTGCCTCGGACCTCATGGGCAACCGAGTCCAGTCAGAGATTGGCCCTTTCCGGGCCTCGGTTCCCTTACAATCCCCCCAAGCCCCTTTTGGGGCTGATGGGAGAGTAAAAGACCCATATGAAAGGACTGTGCAGGTGGGGTGAACCTTAAAAGTTCTGTATAAATACCGAAGAGCTCTCATGGTCTCAGTAAAAGAAAAATCTCCAGGAGGCTTTTGCTGCAGTTTCTGCCGAGGGCTGGGCGAGGCTGTTCCCAGAGATCCCTCCTCGCTGCTGAAGCAGCTGTCAGGATCACCGTGTTCTGGCCTTTATGGTGGCCTCTTGCTCATCGGCTTCCCACCTGCCTCTCTGCTGCTCTGTCACGTGTTCCCGTAAACTTGCTTTCTGGGGCTGCCGCCCGCCTCATCCCCAGGCTCTCCCAGACGGTTTCGGAGGCCCACAGGGCAGCAGTGTTGTGTCTGACCTGCCTGCCAGCATGCGTCAAAACCTCCCCAAAATATCTGGATCGACACCTTTTGATCTTAAACCCAGGACAGGAGAAAGGGTGGTTGGCATGCTAGTGTGGGAGGTGAAGTTGGGGCTTGAACCCAGCGTGCCTGTCACTGACTTACTGGTGACAAGGCACAGGGAGGAGAAGAGAGAGGCCAGGCCTTCCTGAGCCAGAGAGAGGTAGAGACCGGCAGCCCTAGGGGCTTTACTCGTGGGGGGCGGGTTGAGCATGGATGTGCAAGGCAGACAAACTTCAAATCCATGATATAATTAGAGCAGGTATTCCCTTGTAGTAACGGGTTTTTGATTTTATATGAATACTTAGGCATCTGCCAAACACCAGCCCTATGTTCTCGGCACTGTGTGGGGTACAAAGATAAATTAGAGACAGTCCTTGGCCGCGGGTTGTTTATTATCTAGGAGTTAAAATACCCATAATCCAAGAGAGAGGATTCTAAGTACTAGAAGAGTACAAAGTGCTGGGGAAAATCAGAAAATCCTTCCAGGGAATCCAGAAGGCTTTGTGGGTGTAAAGGCAGGCTGGCCCCAACGCATGGGGCAGGTTTCAACTCTGGGTACCTATGCAAAACCTCAGAGGAGGGAAGACACAGGATATGGGTGGGAAATGGTTCATAGTACAGCTTGTCCAGGACATAGAGACCTTGAAGAGGAGTGAAATGTACAGGAAAGGTAAGTGGGACCAGAACATGAGGCCTTTGGCTACTGTCTTCGAAAACGAGCCTTTGAAGAGTTTTAACAGAAATGTTAAGATCTTTTAAAAGGATATCTTGTAGGTCAATATATATTATTTGGAAGAGGGTTCATGGTATAAGGTGAAAACGTATTGCAAAACAATATGTATAGTATGGTCCCATTTTTTATTTTAAAACCTACACAGAGCAGTCAGGCTGACAAGGATCTCTCTCATAGTATTGCAGTGATTATCTCTGGATGTTGAGATTTGAGGTTTTTCTTTTTGTTTATATATTTCCTGACCTTTCTGCAATTCACACTTACTACTTTTGCAATGTGTCATTTTCTTTTAAATGAACACAATGCTAGCTGAGGGAGAGGACTCAGAAATATGCCAGGAATTAGATAAAAACAGACTGAAAGTTATCCATGCAGTAACATTTGTGATATCTAGATTGTGGGCAGGGAGACCCCTCAAGTGGACAACTGTATACCAACCTAGTGGGATATTATGTAGTCATTGGAAATGACAAATATGTAGATTGTTGATACCTGGAAATGGGTATATGAAATGGGTAGAACAAAGGAGAACATAATGTATATTTCACATTGATTACTACTATGTCAAAATGTGTGTAAATACGTAAATGGATTTGGAGAATATACAGTGTTGTTAGCATCTGCTTTTCTATCATGGTAAATGCTTAACATAAATTTTACCATTTAACCATTTTAAGTTCATAATTCAGTGGCATTAAGTACATTCACGATATTGTGCAACCATCCCCACTATCCATTTCTAGAACATTATCATCATGCCAAGCAGAAACTCTGTGCCCATAAATAATAACTCCCCATTCCCTTCACCCCCTAAGTCCCTCGTAACCTCTATTCTACTTTCTGTCGCTATGACTTTGCCTCACAGAAGTAGAATCATACAATATTAGTCCTTTTGTGTCTGTTTTATTTCACTTAGTATAATGTTTTGAAGTTTCGTTGTATTGTAGAATGTATCAGAATTTCATCCCCCTTTGAGATTAATGATCCATCGCATGTATACACCACATTTGGTTTATCCATTCATATGTTGATGGACATTTGGTTGCTTCTACCTTTCGGTTGTTGTGAATAGCGCTGCTATGAACATGAGTGCGCAAGACCCTGCTTTCAGTTCTTCTGTATATTTACCTAGAAGCGCAACGGCTGGATTGTATGGTAATTTTATGTTTAATTTTTTGAGGAACTGCCAACTTGTTGGTGTCTTTTTAATATAAAGCTCTTCAAGTTTATTTATACCTACGATCCTAAATGCACACATGAATTATCAAGGGATTACTACAGATGTGAAAATGTTTTGCTCTGTTAAAGGAAAGGGGCTTTACAGATCTTAAGATAGTAGAATGTTTTGAATGTGGCCGTGGAAAGCAGGGTCAACCCAGACAGATGATTGAAACTTACAGATGATTCCAGAACCCTTACATTTTATCAACAGTCTCAATTTTTACCTTCTCCCAAAAAGCTTTAACCAAGGTAAAAATTAAATAGATGGATTTATAATTGCTTTATTTTTGTCCCATTTAGCCAGAAGAGGGGAGACAGAGGAGGGAACCAAAAGACTGATTTTCCTAAGCTGGATTCCTCCATCCCGGATGGTTGAAAGGAGTTCTATTGTTCTCTTTGTCTCAGTCACCTAGGTTCCCTGAGCTAACCAGTCATGAAGGAAGTATGAAGAGTCCTTCAGTTAATTGGGTTGAATTTGTGCAGTGCTTAGGAGCCCTGCAGTGGGTGCTGGAGAGAGGCAGAGCAAGGGATAAAAGACTGGTTTGGGGCCCCTTAGAGTTCCCTCGTTAATGATGGGAAACAGTCCTGCTCTCTGGAACTCAATCCGAGACTTAGGAGTTCAGGGCTCATAGTCCACTAGGAACAGGAAAAAGATAGAAGACATTTATAAAGTAACCCCTTGTCTAAAATAAAATGATGTAAATTGCTTCCAGTGATAAGGGCCAGCTGGTTAAGTCAGAAAAGCTCTGGTCAGACTGTATTTGCTTTTATGGGCCGCTTCAAAGAATCTTTTAGGAGGGAGGTGTATACAAGGGAAGACGTGGCCGTCAGGTGAGGCTTTCCTAGGAGACAGAAGGTTGGTTACCTCGTCTCCTTCCTCCATGCTGATGTCAAGGTGTGCGGGCTGTGCTCTCTTCCAGCCAGCGTCCCATGCTCCGTGGCCCCAGAAAAGTCAGTGTGTAGGCCTCAGCCACCCCAGGTCCGGCGTACATTCTCCCTGGACACCATCCTCAGCTCCTACCTTCTGGGCCAGTGGCCACGAGATGCCGATGGGGCCTTCACCTGCTGTACCAATGACAAAGCCACCCAGGTAATGACGTGCTCTCCTAAGGGGATAAGGACGGGGGGTGGGGGCTGGCTGAGGAGTCCTTTGGTCTACTTACCAACTCTTGGTCACTGAAATGATCTGTCCTGGGTTTTGGCTGCATATCTTCACCATATGGCTTTTCAGCATCTGATATTTACCAGCTTGGTTTTCTCTGTAAACTTACGTGAAAATGAGTTTGCATTCCACCTGGCTGGTGGAAGAGAGAAGTCAATCTGGGTTTTCCAGTCTGGCTTTGAGTATTCGTGTGTGGGTAAGCAAGAGTTGACTTTGGAATCTCTTCTAGGTTTTCAAAAATGAGATTTACCTTTCTAAAATTAAGCAAGCCAACATTCAGCTGAGTTTGTATTCCCCAGACAACTGGGAGAGAGGCCCAAAAAGTGTGTTGAGCCTGGATAGATCCTGCTGGAGCAGTAAGAGTGGAAAGCTCTCAGATAATGAAGACTCAAGCCCTAGCCAGCAGCCCATGGGAGTCCACTGGGCCCGTTCAAGTCCTTTGGAGCCCAGGTCCTCTCTGTCAGTATTTTTCTTCCTGGCAGTCTTTTCAATAAGAAATCCTAAACTTGGAAGGAATCTCCTCAGATCATCCACCCAAACTCCAGGCTTCCCGGAGTTTTTGAATAAGATAGTGTTGACCGGAGCAAGGAGTCGTCTCCTATGTAAAATTTTCTCTCTTTTTTTTTTTTAGATTTATTTATTTATTTGAGAGAAAGAGGGAGAGAGCGTGCCTGCAGGGGTGGGGAGGAGCAGAGGGAGAGAGAGAATTCCAAGCAGACTCCCAGCTGAGCACGGAGCCCAACTCGGGGCTCGATCTCACGACCCTGAGATCACGACCTGAGCCAAAATCAAGAGTCAGACACTCAACAGACTGAGACACCCAGGCGCCCCCATACAAAGATATATCTTAATCTGATTCAGGACTTCAACATTCTTAGCAGTTGTTCAGAGTCCAGTCTTTTCTCTTTTGATACAGTTTAAACCCATGCCTGTTTGACTTCAGAACAAATGAGTTGTTCTCAGGAAAGAGGAAACAGGGTGGGAAGAACAGGGGCTCAGAAGCGGCCCTGTATCTTGGGGGTCCTGGGCAAGTCGGCTCTTCCTTTGCAAGCCGGGAACGTGTGCCCACTCTTCTTGCTCGCAGGTGGAGTGACAGCCAAGCGTGAAAGTGTTCCGTGCACTCACGTCCCCTACCTCCTCTTTTGTGCATGTCCCGTTGGTCCCCTTCTTTTATTTATTTATTTATTTTAGTGAGATCCATTTTCAAAAGTTGCTAGTGAACATCTAAATGCCCAGTACTGTTCTCGGCATGTTGGAATGAAGGATAAGGAAATGAGAACAAGATTTGGCCTCTGTGAGTCTGGATGCCAGTTCCATGAAGGCCAGTGAACAGCCAGCCAAGGGATGAGATGGGGCCAAATGTTTGGCATGGTTAGAGGAGAGGAATTCTCATGGGAATGCCCCACCTTGAACCAACAAGAATTTGCTGCAGCTGAGATCAGTGGCCCTCTTTAGATCTACAAACAGAAAGTGAAGGGAGGACAGACTCCAGTGGTGGACGGCGGGGGCCTGCTTCCTTGGAGCCCCAGGCACTGCTGTTCCCTGCATCCCTGGGAAAGGCTGAGTAAGATGGCTTTTGCTTTGCCCTCATAGGCCTGGAGTACACACCCCCTTCTCTTTGGAGAGTAGTGTTTAATCCAAACAATGTATCTAGTCAAGTAGGGCTCCCCGGAGGACAGGACCCGAGGCTGCTTCTGGTGTGCAAGCTCATGAGTGCATCCCCCTTTGTTGGGTGCGGGCTTCCCACCTCTCCCCATCTCTGTCACTTCCGGCCACCAACCTTCTAGGAAGCCTCTACCCCACTCCTTGGAGAGTGTTCTTTTTGTCAACTCAAGGGAGGGTTGGCCTCAGATGTTCCCTGGCGGGATTTAGAGGCCTGGGCTCTAGGCTATGTGTTTTTGCTCGGGCTCCAGCTGCAGGCCAGATCTTTTATATAACAAGTCTGGGCTTTTTGCCACGGCAAGACAGAGGTCAGCGATGCGCCTCCGTGGGTCTGGCAAGGCCAAGCTGTGCAGCTTTCCTCTTTTCCCGGGATGGGCTCCAGCCCTCGAGGAACTCTTAGCAACCTGTCAATATTGTGGCTGGAGTCAAGAGGTAGGAGAATTCTGATCAACGTAGGCATCCAAACCAAAATATGCGCTCTGCCCATCTTTCAGTCCTGGTCTTCTGGGAATTTTCTGCGTCTAGATTTTGGGCTCCAGTCAAATTCCTGTTCGAGCCCCCCCTAGCCTGACACAAACTACCTCCTTCAACACTGGCATTACACCAGGAAGACCTGAGGCTCTGCTGACCTCTCTCTAAGTGATTGCTGTTCCTTCTCTCCAGAGCACGGGCATATCCCCAGAACGGGCTAGATACAAGGGGCATGGACAAGGGTAGAGGGAAGGTGGGGAGGCAAGATTTACCAAAGTCCTTGAAAGCTTTTATGTTGTTAAAAAAAAATAGATTGAAGGGACGCCTGGGTGGCTCAGTTGGTTAAGCGACTGCCTTCGGCTCAGGTCATGATCCTGGAGTCCCGGGATCGAGTCCCGCATCGGGCTCCCTGCTCGGCAGGGAGTCTGCTTCTCCCTCTGACCCTCCCCCCTCTTATGCTCTCTCTCTCTCTCAAATAAATAAATAAAAATATTTAAAAAAAAAATAGATCGAGGCCAGCACCTTTCCCTCATTTCTCTGAGCCCTACCCCTGCTTCCTGCCCCTTCTCTTCCAGACACACCGGTGTAGCACTTCTACTGTGTCTGGCAGGCAGGCCCTCACTTCCGTCCTCCTGTTTGCCCTTCCACCCCCCACCCCAGAGCCAGCAGCTCGAGTGTGGTGTTTGGAGACCACGTCAGCCGTGGCGTTCCTGGGGACATGCCCGGTAGTGAGGGCAGCACCATAGTTGGGCTGAACCTCCTAGAGGAAACAAGAACCCTGCCCGTTCCAAGCAAGTTTCTGACCTGGGCCGCAGACACAGAGCACCTGCCATTTAGATAGCCAAGCGTGCTGCATTCTCGAGTCTTCCTCGCAAGATGGCTACCCAAGTTATTTGGGGCAGGGGAGGAAGAGAGGTGGCTGAGTCTTATTTGGGGAATTGGGTGTCCTGTGAAATTCTGCATGTTCTGAGCCCGGAAGAGCAATGGGAGAGAGCTGCCCAGGTCTCCCAGAGACAAGCTTGGTGAGCCCAAGGAAGAGCTTGGGTGCAGCGGGAGTGGGGCACAGAGCGGCCAGCCGGGGAGGACTAGCAAGGCTCCTGGATGGAGTCCCCATCATCGGAAGGAGGTTCTTTGTGTCTTGGAGGACTTTGTCAGGATTCTGCAGGCCAATCTGAATACGTTTTCCCCTCTCTGGGCCGCCCTGTCCCCAGGTCAGCTGGTAAACCCGAGCTGGCCACCAAGTGCTCTGGGCTGGCCCTGCTAGTGGCGGGCCAGGGCGGGGTACCGTCTCCACCTCCCGTCTTGCTGTGCAAAGCACTCGTGTCTCCATGCACTCTTCTGCAGGGAGGAAGTGGTCTCACCACAGCTGGAATGACTGTTTGAGCATAGTTCCCCTGCTGGTCTCATCCTGCAGACAGACGGGACCCTGGGTTCCTGCTCTGCCCGGCCCCCTGTGCTGCTTATCCCAGCCCTGCTTCCTCCACATGCTCCAGGGGAGGTTGCGGAAGCCTCTAGCATGGACTTTCTTCTTTAGGCTTGATTTATCCGATGGAGGAACAAAATAGCTGAAGTCCTTGACAAATCTCCGAGAGTGTCTTGTAGGCCAGAAGCAGAGGCGGCCTTCTTTGTTGAGGAAGACGTCCCTTTCTGGGACTTTTCCCTACTGTGTGTTCTTTCCTTTCGTTACTCTTTTTCCCAAGCCAGTGCCTCGGCCTTTAGTGATGACACATGATCGAGTCTGCCCATCATAGGCTTGCTTTCTGGGTGTGGGGGCCTGGGCATGGCACCTGTTTTCCAAACTGGCGAGCAGGACCAGTTGGTCAGCATATGGTTTGACAGCAGCACAGAATATTTGAAAATGGGTCCATGATGGAAAATCTGAGGGTTACGTAGTCACTGGAGGGCCAGGGACGGTGGCCTTGGCCACCTCCAGCCGAAGTTCCTGGCTCGGGCCAGCGGACCACCCTCAGAGAGCCTTTTCCTGCCTGTGTTTCGCCAGAGTCCCCCAGGGGCTGATTCCCTGCCGAATGTCATGTTCCACACGTAGTTACTGAGCATCTTCTGTACCAGGCCAGGCACCACGCTGTTCTTGGTCCCCGCAGAGGTATATGGGGCTGTGTTCCCAGGGCTTAACTGGCTCCACCAAGGTCCCTGGAGACAGCAGGGCCAGGACCCTTGCCTGGGAGTCCAGGTAGAAACTGAGTTGGGTTGGGGTCAGAGAAACAGGTTCTAGTTTGGAGGGTTTTTGGCTCCATCCCACCCCTGTCTTGTTCTATCGGGCTGTTCCTTGGACAGCTGTCCTCCACCCCCACACCCACTTATCCTTCCGCATGTGGCTCTGGGAGCTCAGAAGCCCAGGCAAGGCTTCCTGGGTTTGACCCACATCCAGTTGTGCATAATTCGAGCATCATCTGCACAGGTGGCTGATGTCACTCATGGCTAGTACATGGTCCTGCTTTTCTCTCAGCTGCTCCCCTTGGGCCAAGGTGTTAAAATAAATCTGTTCCAGTGCATGAATCCCCTTGACAAATACGATGTTTTGATCTGCTGACCAAAGCTCAAGCTCCACTCCACTTCCAAAGGATCATGTGGAGCGACTCCTTCCATTGCCGTCCTGCCGCATGGCTCGACCCTTGTTGTGCCATAAAGGGGCACTCTTCGAAGGGGAGCCTTTCTGTGCCCCAGGGAGACCTTGGCTCAGACCTCTGCGGTGAGACCCAGAGGCAAAGCGGCCCGTCTACCCAGATGCACTGGAACTAGGGAGCAGGGCATGGTCCCCACTCTTGACATGCCCCGTTGAGTCGGAGGGGCCAAAGCCCACACCCGTGCATGAGCCTGCCTTACAGATGCTCAAAGCCAGCATGGACACGGCTTCATACATAGGATGACCTACTGTGTTAGGTTCCCGGGGCTGCTGTGACAAATGACCTCAAACTTCATGGCTTAAAACAACAAAACCTTATTCTCTCACAGGTCTGGGGGCCAGAAGTCAAATTCTGTTTCACTGGGCCAAGATCAAGGTGTTGGCAGGGCTGCGCGCTCTCCGGAGACTCACTGAGAGATCCATTCCTTGCATCTTCCAGCTTCTGTGGCTGCCAGCGTTCCTTGGCTTGTGGCCACATCACTCCAGTGTCTGCCTTTGTGGTCACATCCCCTTATCTTTCTCCGTGTGTGTCTGATTGCCCTCGTCTCTCTTATAAGGACACTTGTAATGGCCTAATTTGTCTGGATAATCCAGGATAATCTTCCCATCTCAAGATCCATAACTTAATCACATCTGCAAAAACTTTACCATATAAGGTAAGACATAGGTTCCAGGGATCGGGACCTGGTGTCTTTGTAGGGCCATTTTTCAGGCTATCACACCTACTGACCTCCTCATCTACTGCCTTGCCTCTTGCTCACTCTGCTCCAGCCATACTGGCCTCCTTATCATTCTCAAACAAACCAGGCTTGCTCCTGCCTCAGGGCCTTTGCGCTTGCTATTCCCTCTGTCTGGATCACTGTTACCTCAGATACCCACATGGCTCACTCCCACATCCCCTTCACGTTTTCCTTCAGATGTTACTCTTTCATTGAGGATGTCCCTGACATTTAAAATCATGTTCCCCTGCCCAGCATTCCTATCTCCTTTTGTTGCTGTGTTTTTCTCTTAGTACTTATCACTGTTTCAACTATGTCCCCAACTAGAACGTAAACTCAAAGGGGACAAGAATTTTTGTTGTTTTGTGCATTGCTGTGTTGCCAGCCCTGGAACGGTACCTGACACGCAGTGCGCATTCAGTAACTATACGCTGAGCGTGTGGATGATGGATACTCGGAGCCCATCTCTACGGAGGAGACGTGGGGCCGAGGAGCAGTCAGCACGAGGTAGACAAGTTAGACGGGCTCCCCGCGGGCAAGGCTGGGAAGAGTTGGTAGGGCAGGCCCTCTGAGACGGAGAGGCCAGGCTTGGGGTCCAGGGCAAGGGGAGAAAGGAGGCAGAGCTAGGTTTGCCTGGATGCGATGAGGGCCCGGTACAGAGGGCCCATGGGATGGAAGGTAAAATGGCGACATCTGTGACCAGGGGCTAGCCGAGTGTTGAGGCAGAACAATAGTCCGGGTAGCATGGTTTACACAGAGGCAGCAGCGGTTGCTGGAGGATGTGGCTGAGCTGAGAGAGGTGAGGCAAGATGGACCGAGAGACACGATCCCAGTTTGGCGTGAATTTTCACATCCTTTCTAGCCTCTGCTGCCAGCCCACATTTCTCCTTCCACCCTCTCACACATCTCAGAAGGAAGGAGGCAGTTGAAGAGTCTGCAAGAGATGTCAATAGAGCTGCTGACAGCCTGGATGGGGCTGTTGTGAGTGCGGTACCTTCCTAGTGGAAGGGAAATGGGCATCGCCAGCTTAGCCTTCGCCATCCCTCCCCTGTGACCTCAGCCACCTTCCAGGGACAGCAGGCTTGCGTGGAGCTCGGCTTGGATGAGCAGAGCTAACGATCTGTAGGGTTGGCTGTGGAGCCCCGGGAGTGGAGGCGCGTTTGTGTGTCTGCTGGGCCGAGGGGGCTCTGGGAGAGGGGGCCCTCCTCCTCACTTTGCAGTATGTGCCGCAGCTTTCCTCAGGCTCTGGCTGCCGGCACCCCAGTTTGGGGAGACACAGGCATTTGGGAGTCGACCAGTTAGCCGCTTGGTTGCCGACTGCTGTCACAGGCAGCTTTACCTCGAGGGTTTGGGCTGCAGCCTGAAGGATGCGCTGCCTGCCCTCTTCCTGAAGGACGGGTGTGTGAAGACTGGAGCCCTGGCCCGTCTTCCTTGCGGCGTTGTCAGGGAAGGAGGGTGGGGCAGCCGTCTCACCCTGGCTGTGTCGCATGGCCCGGGAAATGTCCTGGTCAGCAGCTGGGAGAAGGAAGAGCCAGGGAGACTCAGTCCCCTGTGGCCCCTCCATACAGCTGTCACACAGGGCAATCTGCCCCCCCCCCGCCCGCCCCACCGCTCTTCTTCACAGCTGTTGGGTAGTGAGTGGTTGGGGTTCTTTCCCCCCCCCCTTATCCTCCCCCTTTTCTGTTTGCAACAGCCTCTCGGGGGAGGTCAGCAGATCTGTTGGAGGAGATGGTTCCCAGGCCCTCATGGTTTGGCAGCTCATGTAGAGAAGTCAGAGCTGGTTCCCCTGGAGCATTCCTCCTTGGGCCCCTCCCTTGGAATGGAAGTAGGGGGTGTTGGTGGTGGGAAGTGATCTAGTCCTCCTCTGCCTCATGCTTAAGCCAACAGCTTCCTCCCTCAGGTTGGGGCCCAGGAAGTGGGTCTGCAACTCCCCCTGCCTCAATCTTGGGCCCTTGGCCTTCTATGCAGCTGGGGAGTGGGGAGGAGGCGGGGGGATATGGCCGACTGAGAGGTCTGCTCTCACAAAGGGCAGCACAGGGCCCAGGAGAAGGAGCTGTGATAAAGCCAGAAAGGGTCAGGGTCAGGGCTGAGTTCAGAATTCTGGCTTCCTCCTTCCTGAGAATGTCCCCTCCCGTGCCTATTCAGGAGGACTTCAAGTCTGTGTGCAGAGCCCCCCCCTGAAACCAGCTCTAGACACTGTGCTACACAGAAGTCTCCTGCTTTGGTCGAAGATGGAGGACGGGGGACCTCTACTGACATTTTTCCTGTTTTACCAAGTAATAATGATTGCTTAATGGAGTCCTGTCTCGTAACTTGTTTTTCACGACATTCCCAGGAACCTGAACTTGTGCCGGACCCATAAAGGGTCCACGAATCGAGGATGCCAGGGGTCCCCGAGCCCGTGTTCTTCTGGAGCTGGTTGGGAGAGGGAGGGGCAGGACTTGTCCCTTGGGGAGCACCTGGAATAGCTGGGGCCAGAATCCCTGTGTAAAAGTCACAAAAGAGTAAAGAGCAGGTTGGCCTTGTTGGCTCATCAGGGAAGGCTTCCTGGAGGACATGGACTGGGAGAGTGGCTTTGGGAGTCTAGAGCGTGGAGAAGCCTTAAAGAATAAAAGAGGCGGGCATGTTCAGGGGGCTGATGACCAGACGACAGAGACGCCTTCAAAGAGCCACCACCTCTGTCCAGGAAGTGGCTGCTTCCCCGGGGCCTGCCTGAGAAGCTGCTCTGTCTCACGGGGTTTCTCCCCCTGCAGACGCCCCTGTCCTGGCAAGAGCTGGAAGGTGAGCGGGCCAGCTCCTGTACACACAAGCGCTCGGCGTCCTGGGGCAGCACAGACCACCGAAAAGAGGTATGTGCCCCCTTTGACTCCCTGGCCACAGCAGCTGCCTCCTGTCCACGCCCAGCGCCGTGGATGTGTCTGCTCCAAAGTGGCCTCACATCTTCGGTCTCACTTGCCTTTTCCGGATGAGATGGCTCCTTCAAAGCTGCCTGTCAGTGTCCTGGTGGCCCGGCTTAGGAGTCCAGCCCCTTCCACCGGCAGGGCCTTTGCCAGCGACCGCTGGTGCCCTCCAGCAGCCCAGCGCAGGGTGGGAGCCACCACTGTTCTCGCTTGCTTGGAGCTTGTATCCAGATAAGCCGTTCCGAGTGAGTTTCTGGGAACTGGAAGCCCCCAACCTTACCACCTACTTAACTGTGCATCCAGCCTTTTTTCTGTTTTATTTAATTTTTTTTAGATTTTATTTATTTATTTGAGAGAAAGAGGGAGAGAGCGTGCCTGCAGGGGTGGGGAGGAGCAGAGGGAGAGAGAGAATTCCAAGCAGACTCCCAGCTGAGCACGGAGCCCAACTCGGGGCTCGATCTCACGACCCTGAGATCACGACCTGAGCCAAAATCAAGAGTCAGACACTCAACAGACTGAGACACCCAGGCGCCCCCATACAAAGATATATCTTAATCTGATTCAGGACTTCAACATTCTTAGCAGTTGTTCAGAGTCCAGTCTTTTCTCTTTTGATACAGTTTAAACCCATGCCTGTTTGACTTCAGAACAAATGAGTTGTTCTCAGGAAAGAGGAAACAGGGTGGGAAGAACAGGGGCTCAGAAGCGGCCCTGTATCTTGGGGGTCCTGGGCAAGTCGGCTCTTCCTTTGCAAGCCGGGAACGTGTGCCCACTCTTCTTGCTCGCAGGTGGAGTGACAGCCAAGCGTGAAAGTGTTCCGTGCACTCACGTCCCCTACCTCCTCTTTTGTGCATGTCCCGTTGGTCCCCTTCTTTTATTTATTTATTTATTTTAGTGAGATCCATTTTCAAAAGTTGCTAGTGAACATCTAAATGCCCAGTACTGTTCTCGGCATGTTGGAATGAAGGATAAGGAAATGAGAACAAGATTTGGCCTCTGTGAGTCTGGATGCCAGTTCCATGAAGGCCAGTGAACAGCCAGCCAAGGGATGAGATGGGGCCAAATGTTTGGCATGGTTAGAGGAGAGGAATTCTCATGGGAATGCCCCACCTTGAACCAACAAGAATTTGCTGCAGCTGAGATCAGTGGCCCTCTTTAGATCTACAAACAGAAAGTGAAGGGAGGACAGACTCCAGTGGTGGACGGCGGGGGCCTGCTTCCTTGGAGCCCCAGGCACTGCTGTTCCCTGCATCCCTGGGAAAGGCTGAGTAAGATGGCTTTTGCTTTGCCCTCATAGGCCTGGAGTACACACCCCCTTCTCTTTGGAGAGTAGTGTTTAATCCAAACAATGTATCTAGTCAAGTAGGGCTCCCCGGAGGACAGGACCCGAGGCTGCTTCTGGTGTGCAAGCTCATGAGTGCATCCCCCTTTGTTGGGTGCGGGCTTCCCACCTCTCCCCATCTCTGTCACTTCCGGCCACCAACCTTCTAGGAAGCCTCTACCCCACTCCTTGGAGAGTGTTCTTTTTGTCAACTCAAGGGAGGGTTGGCCTCAGATGTTCCCTGGCGGGATTTAGAGGCCTGGGCTCTAGGCTATGTGTTTTTGCTCGGGCTCCAGCTGCAGGCCAGATCTTTTATATAACAAGTCTGGGCTTTTTGCCACGGCAAGACAGAGGTCAGCGATGCGCCTCCGTGGGTCTGGCAAGGCCAAGCTGTGCAGCTTTCCTCTTTTCCCGGGATGGGCTCCAGCCCTCGAGGAACTCTTAGCAACCTGTCAATATTGTGGCTGGAGTCAAGAGGTAGGAGAATTCTGATCAACGTAGGCATCCAAACCAAAATATGCGCTCTGCCCATCTTTCAGTCCTGGTCTTCTGGGAATTTTCTGCGTCTAGATTTTGGGCTCCAGTCAAATTCCTGTTCGAGCCCCCCCTAGCCTGACACAAACTACCTCCTTCAACACTGGCATTACACCAGGAAGACCTGAGGCTCTGCTGACCTCTCTCTAAGTGATTGCTGTTCCTTCTCTCCAGAGCACGGGCATATCCCCAGAACGGGCTAGATACAAGGGGCATGGACAAGGGTAGAGGGAAGGTGGGGAGGCAAGATTTACCAAAGTCCTTGAAAGCTTTTATGTTGTTAAAAAAAAATAGATTGAAGGGACGCCTGGGTGGCTCAGTTGGTTAAGCGACTGCCTTCGGCTCAGGTCATGATCCTGGAGTCCCGGGATCGAGTCCCGCATCGGGCTCCCT